TGGTGCTGTGGTTTGGTGTGTGGGTTGGTATGGTGTGTTGTGTGTGTGTTTTTGTTTTTTTTTTTTTTCTGCGACTGTGGACTGTGAGTCGGTGGGTGGTGGTTTGTTGTGGTGGGGGGTGGGGGGGGGGGGGGGGGGGGGGGTTTAATAGGGAGGGGGGGTTCATTTTGAGAGGGCGGGCATATTTAATTTAGAAACGATGATGGTATCAGTTCTCCATAAAGAACTAGAATACAAAGTGGAAAAGCTCACGTACAAGAAGTTTCAGGTCGTACAGCCGAGGATCAGAATCAAATTCGAATTTCCAGTTGGTATATAAACCATCCCAGAACAGTCCACATGAAGCTTTACAGTCCTGATTGATTAATAGAATCTCTCATTTATTAGTGAAGAATATTTAGGGGAGGGGGCTTATTTTAAAACTGTTTTCCCCTGAAAGGTGGGGGGGGGGAGTTATTTGAGAGGGGGGCTTAATAGAGGATTTGCGGTAAGTGGGCGACTGGTCATCCAGTCCCTGGGATAAGCGGGAGGGGGCAGTGCCGGCCTTGAAAATTTATAGTTTTACATGGGGTAGTGAGGCCCAGGGCCCCCGCGCTTCTACCATATCTAATATGCAAGACGTTTTTTGAATTTCCCATTCATTACCTATATTTTCCGCTGAAAAGGCTTTGATCTTTAACTCTGGGAAAATCTTGGCAAACTCCTGACGCATGGAAAGGACAGGTTCACTTGTGATCATTTCTACATTGCTACCACGAAGAACGTCCTGCAAGGTGCGAGTAAACTTTCCTGTCCCTGCTCCGAGCTCCAAGATATGTGTTGGTTGCATATTCGATGTAGCATTTTTACCATAAACGACGCCAAGTTTATGGAGTAAAAAGCTCACGGCTTCTCTCGAATAACCCGGTCTCACGCGATCGTAAAGTTCGGACGATGTATATCCGCTCTCTGCTATGGGGTGCACACCCGTTTCTGACTCGTTTAGTACAGCAGATGACTTAAGAAAACGGTGTGTATTCTTCGAGGTAACAGCACGACCAAGGAAAAGGCGAATAATCGTAGAAAATCTCATCCTTTGCGCTGATTTTAGCATGCGATCGAACTGCGATGACGCGACGGGTAACGTGAGCAAACGCGACTCATTGTTCAGCGGATTCCAACTCGTTCCCGGGGATACTCCTACCGACACTCCGACCACGAAAAAAGACACACCAAAATATTTCCATTCTTTCCCCGGACCATGCGACCAAAGCAAAGAATGCTAGAATGAACTTGTATCGTATTTAAGGTTTTATGGAGTGGCTTGATACCCATTGACCTATCATGTAGACACGAGTTGAAAGTTTAGGTTTTGATTGTTTCCCTTCTTAGTAGCTAGTATGCCCCAATACTTGTTAAAATCTTGGGAGTCATATTTTTGGCTTATTTCTGGTCACAGTCAATATGCGTTTTGAATTTATGGATGAAATGGATTTTACTGACATATTGACAATATTTTATTTTTGAGGGTTTTAATTACATGAACTTATGGGGGAGGGGAGGGGGGTTGAGGTCGATGACACGCTAACAAGCCACAAAATTATTACAACTGTTTCTTGGGGTTCAGTTTCATAAAATTTATCCTCAATAGAACAGGAGGGGCTGAAAAAAAAGTCTAGAATATTTTACTATGTGGTGGACATCGGCTCCTGCCCTACATATATCTACCTGGAATTATGAAAACTGGGTTAGCAAACATTTTGTAATTTCTCTCAACTTCCCCTGTGTAATAGCTTCTCTACTGAGTTGTTTTCTTGTGTCTTTTTTTTGTTCGTTTTGTGGTTAGACATTTGTGTAGAAGTGGCTGTAGACAGAATTTCGCGAATTTCTATCTACCCCCGCCCCCCTTCACTCCCTCCCTTTTTTTTGGGATCCTACCCACAATTCTTTATTCAACACAAGTGACAGTTATTTGAAATTAGGGCGCGCCTAAAGCTTGCTTCGGCGCCGTTTAGCAGTTAACATTTCGTTATTGGTCACCTTGAGAAACGTTTGCCGGAGAGCATCATGTAAAGCTCTGAGATGGGTCAAAGTTATTACGATTCGCAGAGTCTGCATCGTCCAATATCGTATTGTATTCTCGTTTTATTTGGTTAAACGGATCAATCACACTGATCTGGGCTGAGACAGAAAGATACGGTATTGTTCACTTTTCTAAGGTGACCACTTAGTCTTTGGCCTCGGGAACAGGCTGTTGGGAGTCAAATGAATTAGGCGAGAGCAACATGGCAAGTGAACTTGAGCCAGGCGAAGACTTAGTTTTTTTTTCTGTGTGAAAACAAGGTCTAGGCTGGTCTGCCGACCGTGTGATTGTACATTCGGAAACTTAAATAAGACGAGTGTAAGAGAAAAGTTCACAGGTGTTTCTCTGCCAACATTTCGCTTGTGTTAAGTCAGAAGATTACGTGTGGTTGTTGATAGTCTATCAGTGCCGCGAAAGTGTGATTGTGTGATTTTCGCATGGTGTTGGCAGGTATGTGGTCGCGTGGTTGAGCTGTTTCGCCAAAATATTTTGTGCCAGGCATAAAAACGTTTTTTCGGTGTTTAGGTTTCCTGATTGTACCTTGGAAAAGCAACTCTTGACCCAGGAAAATTGAATCTAGGCGTAGTTTCAGCGGGCTCTAATGGCTTTGAGCCAAAAGGCCGGTTTTTGCAGATTAAGGTGATAATTTGTGTACTATGTTTCATTCAGCCTGTCGTTTGTTGGACAGCGAAAAAAGTAGTGTTTTGCTAACTATTTAAGGTGTTATGTAAGCCTTAACCAGGCACGTTTTCGCTGCAGTTCACTCAACTTTAAAATTCTAGACTGAAATGACACCAGTTTAAACCTTCAGAGTCGGATTACTGAATAAATGTTCTAAAATTTCCGTTATTTTAAATTTGGACTCATTGAAATGCTTCTAGTAACCAATAACTTACTGCCCGGCGTCAGATAAAGGCTTTTCAATCGCCAAGAAGTAGAATGAGTTGATTTTTTTACTAACCCGGTTTTCAATAGACTACGAGTAGTCCCCAATTTTTCCTCAGGGATAGTAGAGCGAGCGAAACGCGAGCGCGCGTGAAAATCACCCCACGCGAGAAAAGGCGACATGGGGAGATTTTCACGCGCGCTCGCGTTTCGCTCGCTCTACTACCCCTTAGGAAAAATGGGGGACTACTCGTAGTCTAGGTTTTCAAAAATCCAGGTATATATAAAAAAAAGAAAAATTATTTGATTTCTTACCTACCCCTCCCATAAATAATGAACGGCCCCTAGTGCATAAATATGATTTTTTTAACCGAATTCCAGTACAATCCCGATGACATTGCCGTCTACGGTAAGAAGAAGAAAACACATGCACAGCTGGTACACAGACGGAACTTACATTACGTCTGTGACGCAGGCTAAGCTGGTCTATGTGCCATTTAAGAAAAAAGATGAAAAGAGCTGACATGTTTTTGATAATAGCCGCCAATCTGCATTAGCTGTCACAACATCACATAACCGTCAACCAATCAACTCTCGGTAAAGTCTAGTTTCTTCTCCGCGGGTCCAAGTGAAATCATTTCCACATCCGGGGACCTTGAGGTGCCAGGGCACGTGACTGACATTGGCGACGGATCAGGCACACTTGATGATGGAGACTGGTGACGAAGAGGTCGAACCTAAGGAAAACTTGTCGATGTTAGACTGGAAATTTTGGGACTAAAGTTTAACTATGTATTTCTCGTTTCAACCATGACTAGAAAGGTTTCTGAAAAAGTTGAGGTGCTGAAACGGCGTCCACTGATCTTCTCTTCACCCGGCTAGCAGAGTTCCTTCAATCTTACGAAAGATCGAAGCGACTCTGCTCTCTCTGCCAAATAACGCCACGGGCTAGTCTCGAGAAGGTAACATTGCGTAATACAGAGGGGTTGTGTTGGGCGGGGCGGGGGAGGGGGTCCCACCTCACATAGTTACTTAGCCCAATACAAAGCATCAGATATCGTACTTGGCGAAATAACGCCTTTTATGCATGCTGGGAGCGGGATGAGAAACACAAGAATTTGGTTTTAAAACAGTCACAAAGGTAAATTGACTTTCAGTCTGTCATGCGTCGTACGCTGAAGGCCGCACTCACCCTTGTTTATTGAAAATGTAGCACAACAGGTCATGCTAGCCGTCCTCCAACGTTCCTCGCCGCTAGAGACGTCCCAAACGTCCCTAACGGCGCGTCAGGCAACGAGAAGAGACGGCTTTAGTCGCAGGCTAAAGTCAAGCAAAACGATGTAAAGTTGTAAGACCAACCTGGGAGCCTCTCAAGGGTGTAGGAGTGTTAAACAGCTTGAAGGCGTGGTGATTCCTGGCAGAACTATATAATATGACAAGGAAAACTTAGTAAGAAGATAATAGAGTCACTAAAAATAAAAAATCTGAAGAATTTCAGAACAGAACAGGTCAATGATTCCTTTCAGTGAGGAAATGCGTTAATGCACTGTTTATAAAGTACTTGCCTTCTTACTAAACTCTTAGGAGAATGGTCTGTAACCTGGAGAAATATCAAAGAAATAAAATAAGAAATAGATCTTGCTTGAATGAAAATAATCTTGAATTACAGTTTTTATACTACCACATGAGAAATTTCTGCAATTCGATTGGCTTAGAGCAGTGGTATTTCAGCTTAATTTGAAATAACTATATGTGAAAATTACAAACCTTTTGTGGGCAGTAGTATAAACAAACGATAGCATGATTCGTACGTGATATTTCGCATAAGTACCACTCGTGATATTTCAAAATTGTCTCAAAATTCAGTCGCCTAAAAAGGGCATCTTTCTTTTGTTTCAACTCCAATTTTCGTCATTCTTCTATTCCAACCCCATACCAGGGCATTATTTCACTACTCCACCTTGAAAATTTTCCTTTTTCCTATTATTTACTCTTCTTCAACCCCAAATTAAGTTTAAGTATCAGTTTTATCACCGTTATTACTGTCACTGTAAGTATTTAAAACCTCTGAATCCCGTTCACAGTTAAAACACAAAATTGTGTTTCCCCACGGCTTTTTCGCCAATCTGAAAACACAATATTTACTCTATATGCACTTCACGTGCTACCTCATCTAGTGATCACAAGCGCCTGTGGTAATTACCCATAATAAGTGATGCGCATCGTTACTTACTCCTACCCCCACGGGTGTTCGTCGTCCCGCCAATCGCCGACTTCTCCGAACGGGACTACTCACGATTCTCTTGTGCACCACGTGACGTCTTTTTAATAGATCTTTTTCATTGTTAGACCCACGCCGAGAAGGAGAATTACGGTGACGTCTGTTCTGGCTGAAGGGTCTTCCAACAGGGCTACCTGTCATACAGTAACAACACACCGGACTGACTACTTACTGTCTGTACTGATACAAGTATATATAATACAGTGGCGGATCCAGGGGAAGGCCCGCCTCCCCCTTATTTTTATACCATATATTTTTTGAGACTGCCCCCCCCCCCCCTTATCTCAGGGTCTGGATGACCAGACCCCCCCATATCGGAATGTCTGGATCCGCTACTGTAATAGGACTACATGTTGAACAAAAAGCCCACGTTCGATGTATTAAAATTCTTACACGAGTCATTTTTCTATAATTGGTTTGGTTTTCTTTGTGTTTAAGTCTCGTCTCGGACATGCGAGGCAATGGAATCGTGAATGATTTGCAATTTTGTTCCTAAAGCCTCGGAGTCATGTTAGAAGTTTAAAATATCGAACTTGGGCTATTGGAAATAAAAAAAAAATCCAAGGACAGCCAAGTCCCAACCCAGTATAATCTGACTGCAACCAGAGGAATCCTTTTCATCCAATAATTTTCACTGACTGAGGGTGGATTTCTACTGTCGCGTAATTTTTATGTGCGTACGCGAGTAAACGTTAACAGTTGAGCGAGGTTCAACTTTTACGTTTACCCCCGACCTTCCCGGAATACATTGCCTCTACACTAGTTTTATTAACGCGACAATGGAAATCCAGCTTCACATGTGGTGCTGCTATTGAATAGTATATAGTTTGTCCGATTATCTACTTCTGTCAGTACAACTATAATCGGTTTGTTAGTAAGCGAGGGTATACAGCGTGAAAGAATGATATCTTTTGATGGAAAAATTAGCTTTTTCGAGCATTTTCTATGAACAGAATGCTGACGTTGCTTTCGCACAGGCCACCATAACGCTGTACTGTACAAACCTCTCCGACGTGGTGTGTTTAAAAGGCTGTTTGCCGCTGAGCAGCACATCGTGGGCAGCATATTAGGGCTCTGACCAGTGACAACTTTAAAAGTTGTCATTTCAATGTCATTGGTTGAAAACTGAATTTCAGATTCTTGTTTGGAAGAAAACAGTCCAATGACCCGTTGAAATAAAGATGGCTCAGTGTTTTCTGTGAAAAAAAAAATGTTGAGAATTAAACTTTGCAGCATTACTTTCATGACTGCCTGCAAGTAAGGTGTAAGGAGAAGGGTCTTCTGACAACTGATCTTATTGGTTAGATGTACCTTGCTGGAGTTGGTTGCTCATTGTTCGCTGTCTTTTTCTTCTTTGGTCCTCATTTTGATCATTCAAACGTCGTTTCTTCGTTTTAGCTGAGGAAAGTTAAAAAAGTGTGCTTCTTTGACTTCTTGCAATCTACGATAAAGGTTAACTGATTTATCTTTCCCTCACCTTGTTCTTCTTTTTCTTCATCAAGCACGGCTTGAATAGATTCTATTTCCCACTTCTGAATCGGTTTTACTTTCCAAATCGCCTGAACAAGGGCATCACGCGTTACACTGGAGAAAACAATAATTGAAAAAATTAAATGACAGGGCGCGATAAGGTTTTTCTTCATCGAGTATTTTAATACATACTACATGAAGTACAGTACGATTCCTGTACCGCTACTTATTAACCCATAACCCACTTTGTTGACTATAACTTACAGCTTTGCAGGGGGACGAAGTAATACTGGTAAAACGTGCGCAATTTCCTTTAGTGGAAGAATCTCGGCTGGAAATGAAAAAGAAAACAAAAATTTTAGAAAGCAGGAATTTTCAATAACTTCCCAACCATTATTTTATGACCCACAAAAATAAATAAGCACGACCGTTTGGAAAAATTCGAAAACCAAAGAAAATTTTGTAAGGAGGCTGAGGGAGGCAGCGCGGCCTAGTGGTCGGAATTCGGTAGTTCCGGGTCCAAGCCGGATCCACTTCCATCACTTAGTTATTAGCACTTGCTGGTTTTGTTCGCAGTCTCCCCGAGTTCAAATCCCCGGTCACACTTGTAAATAGCCAATTGCTTGCCTCCTGCCAACTGGAACGTTAAATCCTGTTATATTATATTTCGAGTATTTGTTTCTAATTATTTGAGTGGAGTGGAGTGGAGTAGAGTGGAGTGGAGTGGAGAGGAGTGCAGAAGGGCAGTTTAGACTGCGTGGCAGGCGTTCGCGAGGGAAGGGACGGGGAATTAGGGCGCGCCCAAAATTCCCCCTTTCCCTTTAACGCCCGCAACGCAGGCTAAGGACAGTTCCACGATAAAAAAACTTTTTACCTTGCCTTAATGATCAATAAGGTAGAGAAAGAGAGTCTCTTTCGCGAAGTATTCTAGTAAAAAGGGGAACCTAATCGACCGTGGGTTTTATTTTTAAAAACGATTTCTCAGTTTCGTACACGACTTCGAAGTCGACTCTATGTTTGGCCAAATCTTAACTCTTTTGCAAAGGAAAACCCATACCTGAAAGGGCATCAAGTAAAGCCAGCGCAACTTGGAAGATCACTGACATGCCTGTGGACCAAATCAGATGCAGTGTCACAGGCGGATTAGGTTCTATTTAACCATCAAAAAGAAGCATTTGTTTAACAGAAAGTTTATGATAAATGGTGGCAAGGATAAAAAACTATTCCGTGAAAACTGTTTAAAAGTACCTCGGACTTAACGACTAAGAATGAGTGGGGGAAAAATGGAACGTCCGTTAAGGTTTTCAGCTTCGGCTGTGTTCACGTGTCATTCGGGAAAATGACTTTTATCTTTAATCATTATTTATACACGGTAAAAAAATTCATCACGTACAATAAATTCCAATACAATGACTAACATCCTAAAACCTAAAAATCCTAATCCTAACGTTACATTAACTAACAACAATAAAATTATGCCACTTAAAAACCTGATTTCCATGAATGCTGTGTTTAGAGATAGGCGTTTAAATTGATTTAATGAACCAGACTTTCTAATGTTACAGGGTAAGCTGTTCCAAAGGGTTGCGCCGCTGTAACTAAAACTATATTTATGTAGTTAGTTCTTGGAAAAGGGACAACAAGTTTGTTTACCGAGTCCCTAATAGAATAGTTTGAATTATTTCGCTTTATAAATTTTATAAACTCAAAAACGATTATGGCTTGTTCCCACCTTGGCCGGAGAATGAATCGACATCTTTCTTATTGTTGAAAGGTTATGCATTAGGTTATTTACTCAGAAGTTTAAGATCCTCCCTGCCCCCTTGAGGAAGAGGGTTACTTAGAGGTACTCATGACGCGTGCAAAAATGGCACCTTTGAGGTAAAACTAGGGATAGTGGCATATCTGTTGGAGCCACTTACCGTCCAGTAAAAGGAGATCCCACATAATGAGCACAGCATCCCAGCAAGGAAGGGAAGTAAACAGAGCCATGAACCATGGAGTCAAAAACATCAAAGGGGATACACCCAACGCTTCCTAATCAGGCAGAAAAGACAAAGTCTATGAATAATCTTGAGTAACTTTCGCGGCTTTTTGGAGTGAGGGTGGGGTTGAGGAGATGGGTGGTGGTGGTAGTGGTGGTGGTGGTGGGGATTATAGGTATTTTCTCCTTCATATCTTGCACTTGCCACTTACCAAGTGTTTATAAAGCTTACTTCGTCTTTGTCTCATCAGTCTCTCAAAGACTGCAGCGTGTCTTTGAATTCTGCAATGAAAATATAGCAGTAAAGAATTAGAATTATTCATTGTGCAGTAACAAGTGTGGTGGCTCACTCCTATGGGCATAAAATTTTGTGTTTATTCAACTTACTTGCCAAGAGAGTCGCTAAAATAACCAGCTAAATACTTTGGTCGTTCTAAAATAGACACTAAGCACCAGAAAGCATCCTGAAAAAGGAAAACAAAACAAATTATAAAGCCCGACGGTTTTATCTGGAGTATAACAACCATAACAGATGTTTTTACTTAATACGATTAGCAAGGTTCATCTATAAGATTAGTAACAAGCTTTTCCTCAAACTGTTTACTACATGTCACCAAACCATTATTAATAGCATATGTTCAGATCTATTTACTCCTTAGCCTCACTGCACATATTTCTTCAGGAAGGCAAATGCCACCATTCTACTGACTTTCTTAGTTTTGCCAAATTAATGCTCGCTAAGCAATCTAGCTAAAATTGGACTAAATTGAGTGACAAAGCTCCTTTAAGCTGATGACCTTGCCCTGTCCTTCCCTTGTCAAAATTATAGGAGCCCACCGTGCTGCTTGAAAAAAGCAGGGGACATACAGTATTGAACCCAAGTAGCCCGTATTCTACCAAACAAGGGTTTGATTCAAGTCTGTAACCTGGGAGTGTACTGTACTACGCGTTTTGCTTTTCACACCTGTCTTTCAAAATACATGCCGTGCATCTTTATGGGTTACTTTTAGTTTTCTTTTTTTTTTTTTGGACAATTATTGAAATATACAGTACCTCTTCCTCCATATTCATAAGAAACATTCCTGCAATATAGGACATTCCTAAAAAAAAGAAAAAGACATGTTCATTATTATGTACATTGACCTTCTGTCTGGATCCAAATGAAGTTCAGGAAATCTCATAAATGCATTTAAGTAAAGTTCCTTGAGGGTCCAAAATGGATAGAGACTCTTCTGTTGAAATGCAGCTTTTATCATGTAGACACAGTGATAAAACGTGTCTTTGACAATGCTTATGTCACAACACATGTTGCTGCAGTCTTCTACTCAGGACACATTGTTTAATTTTTTTTCCTGTCAAAATAATGAAATTCTTCCAGTACACTTGAGCGATAAGTCATACACAATCCATTAAGCATCACCGGACTTGTGAGGACAAACACACACAAAAAAACTACGGGTGCATGAGTAGGATTACCTTGGCAATATGATACTTCAGGATTATACAAAGCATAAACTGCAAGGACCCTAAACAGAGCGGCTCGGCCTTCCTTTCCTTCACTGGTCCCTTGTATAAACATTTTGTGTCTTGGAAAAGACCTGTCTGGAAAAAGAGGTTCTGCATTGTACCGTATTGTACTGTAACTGTAACTCTACTCCACTGTTGGCACATATACATGTACATGTACTGGGTACCACAAAATTCCGAAAAATAAGCCCCCCGCATATAGTGTATAAAGCCCCCCAAACTCGTAACGCAAAAAACCTGCTGTTAAATTGCCCCCAGGGGGCTTGTATTTGGAAAATTGCCCTCAAATATAAAGTAAAACAAAGCAAAAACAGTAAATTTACTGCCAACTATAAGGCTAGCCCAATCGATTTCGAAACGGAAATTTGCCTCCTTAGATAAGCCTCTCCGAATATAAGCACCTCAAAAAGGGTCTTTGAAAAAAATTAGCCACGGGGCTTATTTTCGGAATTTTACAGTATGCCTTAAAAAATATATACACTATAGGGGAGGACATACAGTGTCGGAAGACAGTTGCCAACATGATACTTTGTTCTCTTATGTACATTGTAAGTCCAGACATTTTTTACAAATACTTTTGGCAGTTTTCCAACATACCTAGTAGCTAATCTTAAAAAACACAGCCAAAAGTAATGCCCATTTTCAACTACTTACTTGGACTGAAAAGGTGGAAAGGAAGCTCTATTGGTTCACTTTGATAGTATTTACCAAAAGAAAGATAAAACAGCTGAAGAATGTCATCACAAAGTTCTAGTTATTAAGTTTATAAACATGTAGCAAGTAACCATATACTGCACCATGAGCTCAGGATATAAGATTATAGAAATAAAATTATTAGTTGTTATAAATTACAGCATAGGCACCAGTAACTAATAAAATGTCGTCCTACATGTATCAAGCTGGCATCAACCTAATTATTGTACTATTAAGGCAGCATGATTTCTACTTACCAACATCCAACATGATCTGCCTGAAGACAGTGATCTGCTTATGAAGTTTTCTTTTCCATTGTCTGGTCATTATCAGTGTATCAGGGCTGTCAATCATATTTTCTTTATTGTTTTCAATCAGTGACACTACAATCCAAACAAAAGGGTGAGTTCTCTGCTGTTGCATAAGTTGCTTATTGCAAAAGTAGCAGAATTTTTATAGTTTAATTATTTTGAAACAGTCTTCTTTATACTACCAGGTTTAAATAAAAATGTATGTGCAGATATAACTGTTCTGTAAATAATGCATTCATGACACTAACATTCTTTTTTGGTCTGCGAGAACACTACTTACGTGTAGATCACCAATCTGACTTAAGCCAGCTACAAAATGTGTTATGAAATTTATCAATTTTTTTCTAATTAGTGAATTTGCATAAAGTTTGAAAACCAAATTGCAAAGGGAGGAAAGAAAGCAATGTAATTTTATAATTTGCTTTAAAGCCCACGTTTGATTAGCCTCCCACGCAGGCATTTTTAGGGGAGCTCGTTTTTCATCCCGCCCCACAAACGCCTGCTCAACCGAAGACAACATTCCTTTCCCATGCTTAGCCAATCACATTATGCTTTCCAAATTCTGGAAAGTTGACCTTGACCGCAAGGTAATCTGATAATTACCCGATCTGCATGAAACACTGGAAAAAGTTTGATTTGATTGCAGCCAACTGTTGTTCCTTGTCTTTCCTGTCAGAACATGTTTTACGTATAAGTAGCATAATTTTGGAAGTCACACAAGTGTAACTATTGTGTGTATTTATTTGATTAGGTGCCCTCAGCACTTTTATTATTAAATTTTTGGGCCTTGAAAGGGAGCACTTAATCAAGGTGGGTGCTTATTTGAGGTTGGGCGCTTTCATCATTTACAGCAACTTGTAGTAAGTTAATTTAAGCAGAATTATAACACTGTTTATTGAAACTTTGTTTTAAAAAAATTCTAAGAACTCGGTATTCTGTGAAGTCTCTTAGTTGATTTCTATCTCATCATCAGGAAGGTCAATACGCAAACTATCTGGTGTTGTCTCATAGATGTCTTACAACCTAATGTCTGCAAATGGGTCAGTCAATGATAAGGCAAATAAGGCAGTAAAGAAATAATAACCTGTACTCTTCTTGTCCACTTCAGATTTTTTCTTAAGGGGGAGGGTGGTAGGTGGGGGTGGCACTTATTTGAGGCTGTGTGCTTATCAACTTTCCTCCCTACAGGATGGGCGCTTATTCGAGGTGCGTACTAATTCAAAGCTGGGAGCTTAATCAAACAAATACAGTAAGTCTTGTGTAGACACACTGTTAAATATCTAGTCGCTGATCAACTTTGAGCAAACAGCAAGATGTAATTAGTTTTAATTTTTAGTTCTAGCAGCAGTCTCACCAACAATCTGTCCCAATCTTGAAATACTGTTTACCCCTCCATATTCACTAACTCCTAAGTCAACAAGGAGTTGACGGATCTCAGCTAAAGTAATCTGGACAAAGAAACAAATGAAGCAAACTAAATCAAAGTTGTCTTGGAGCAGTGACAATTACACTGCAGGACTCATATATCATTGATATTATTTTCATATAATGAAAAAAGATACAAAACAAATTTGAAATAGATTGAAGAAACTAAAAATTATTGCAATGTATGAACAGAATAACTGCTGGTATCTGGGTACCATGACTGTAATGTTTAATTAAATTACATTGTGATTAATAATAAATTATTGTTGATTAATTTAAATATTTACCTGATAATCAAATGCAGAGATAACCCTGATAGCCTGACTGCCAATCATTTTATTCCAAACTTTTCCTCTCATGTCAATAGGAATACCTTGTTTGATGTACCGTCGCAGCTACAAAAATGGAAAAACAAAAACAAACAATTTACATTGGCCGGGGCATATAAGCAGAGGCTGGCCTACTCTGTGATGCTTTTTGGTTTTAAATTTCGGGGAGACGTGTATTTACAGAATTAAATGTGAACATTTTTACCTGCTTGGGGGAGAAAATTTGACGTTCCTCCCAGTTTTTGATAGTTTTCATCCAATATTCCTTTGCTTTGGAACAGCCATTGTCTGAATTAAAGCTAAATAGGAGATGTATAATTAACAAACAGTTGAAAAAGCAAGTAAGAGAATGCATGCCCATGCATCCAAATTAATTTACTATTATTATTTATAAATTTTAATAGGAACAAAATATAGAGTAAAATGTGAGACCGGTATGCAGGGGATGTAATATTAAGCAGATACCCTGCATTAAACATGTAAATAGCTCAGCTTGTTTCAAATATTTCTACTTTATGCAAAAAAGTCCTGTATTTAGCAGGTACTAACAATACCCCATGGGTGTCTGACCCACCTAAGAAAGCTTTCACTGTGTACAGAGGCAGATCCAGGGGAGGGGTAGTGGTATACACTTGGTGTGGTCTAACCTGTAGCTAGGTTCCTTGGTGGGGAAAAAGGGAAAAAATCAGTAGACCTGCACCATTCTAAACCTCTTATTTCATTGATCCCCTTTAATCTGCACTTCCATTGTTTTCAGGGATAGGGGCATTGTTATGTGACAACCCCTATTGTTTTCCCAGCTAATAAAAAACAATCTTTCAAGTAGGTGTGGGATCGCCCAAAAAACTTGGTGAGTGAGGGCTAGCTCAGAAGGGGAAAGGGGCGGCATAGTTCTTCCCCATTCCCCTCCTGATTTTTAGCTTTCTTGTCTCAAACAGAAAGCGTTTTCACAGGCAAGGAGTGCTCAAAATGTTCCTTAGTCTGAAAATTTTGAAAACTGGCCGCTTACTTTGACAACTCAGCCATCTACTTCAAAACTTCTGACAATCCTGCCAGTTCAATTTTATCTAACTTTTGGCTCAGAACCATTGACTATTCACAGGATCTGAGACTGATTGGTAATGTGTCGAATCAAAGAAAAAATTGAACCACAACATATGCCCACAAACCCCACAGGATATTTACACAATGTAATATCTAAGGTTTTTGTTCCCTTTAATTTTAAGAGTTAATTGAGGCCTGTTTCAGACGTCGTGCTACTGCCGTGCTACGCTGGCTCGAGTGTCGCTTGACTGCAGCACGACACTAGCACGACTTGGTTTCAGACGTCGAATTTAATTCAGTCGAATGGAGGCCGTGTTAAAGTCCAATTTAATTCGATCAATTGAGTTCGGCACGGCAGTAGCACGACGTTTGAAACGGGCCTAAGATTTACATAATATGACTCTAGATTAATGAATACACGCGCGAGCACCAGAGGTTTTGTTTCGCATTAAACAACAACATCTTCTGCAAACCTAGACATTTTAAAAACGGATCTAAGGAGCGGAGTGGACTAATAAGTAGACAAAAAGTTTACTTGTTTAGTAGCCTTTACTGTACGGTAACGACTCCTTGGCATAAAAGATGATGACACATGTATAAATATCAAAGTACGACTTGTACACTGTTGCAAATTTATATCCATATCCTTAAGATGTATTATTTACTTGCCTATATTCATGACTTCTACAATCTTCATCTGCAAGTTCTGAACCTGGTTTGTAAACAGCAAACCCGTACGGGTCGTAGAATGACAAATCACCAATTCGCGATTCACCGCCATCTTCTTTTGCGGCCATCTTGTTGCCAGATTACGACCCCGGGATTACGATCACGGTTTGATCTCTTCCTATGCCGTCTTGAAAACTTAATCGACTTGAATAAGGATTAGGTACAATTCACCATGGCAGACGACGAGATGTTTCCCTGTTGTAAGGACTTATTAGGACTATCAAAGTGCATACGCGTGCCTACAAACAGATTGCAACATTGGAGTATTCGAAAACAACCGCCTTGTCACTCGGGAAAGACTGGGCCGGAGACAAGAACATACGTTCCCAGTTCCTTCCGCGTGCAGAGTCAGGGCATGGCAAGGCATGGCAATCGTTCGCTCGGGAGTGACAAATGGTTTCACATAGTGCTAGGTACATAAGATGGTCAGGAAACGACAACGGGGTGATATTGTAGAACAAATGTTGAGCCGTGTGTCAACGTACTGTGTCATTCTGTTGTATCAGGAGCCGATCGGCTCCTGGTTGTATATGAAGGTCAACAATTTGCGCGTGCATAATCATCACGCACGCGCCGAGTGTGCCCTAAATTAAAATACTACTGACATGAGGTTTGATGGCTGAGGCTGGACATGTTTTATTAGACGGGGTAACAGTTATTCTTAGAGTTGAAATAGAAAATAGATAGAAAATTGAGAAAAATAGAAAATAGAGAAAAGAAAAGAGATAGAAAATAGAAATAAACTGAAACTACACATTGAGAGATAAGCCAGCCCGAGGGCGCAAAGAAAGCTTCTTATATCCCTCAACCAGGGATTAGATGTAATTCCAAAATTTTTATCCTTTATTTTCATCATTCAATTTACTCTTTTATTGAAAATCATACATTACAGATCTAGCTTTGGCTTTAGATTTTCCCATACATTACTTATTATTCCACCTCTGAAACCCCATATCTTCTACTGACGATTAACTCAGCAATTATGACGTCATAAAAGGAACATAAATTTTGAAACATTGCTATACGTTTAGTTCTAGTTTTTTAGTACGTTACGATGTTTTCACCACACACCACTACAAATCTTACAACTTACCAAGACCCTAATCACATGCCAGGGTAAGCTTGTAACTTTTTTTAAGTGTATTCAATTTGAGGGCTCCTGATAATTTGAAAATACCCGAAAGTCGGTAAGAAACAACCTACTTTAGTCCGAAATTGGTTAAACTTCGATATAGTTTCATCAAGTTTTGACGTCTCTTAATATAGCTTTGATATCACGTACTTCAAAAATAATGTCGAAACTTACCTGCAGGAAAATATTTCTGAAGGTAATGACTAATAAGATCTAATAACGGGCAAAAAAGTTAATCCTTTCAATCTTTTGAAATTGTTACTATCTTACTGCCGGAACGTACAACATTACAACATTCCTGCACCAAAAATAATTTTCCTTTTCATCATTTTTAGTTCAGGAATATTCTTATGTTGCCAAGCCTTTTAAATCCGCCTTTCAGGATAGATTGCTTCCTATCAAAATATTGATCACTTTAATCATCAAGTTGCCTCATGATTCTATAATTTAATGCAAGCACATTTTTCTGTTTTGTTTAGATATGCAGGTTACTGCCCTCGAGCAAAATTCGTGTATCATGGTGACACATTTGGTAACACCACTGCCAAATGCTTTCAGGACAGACGCAAAACGAAGCTAAGTACCAGCATCACGCATGATCCAGGAATCACCGCAGATGGACAGCACAGATTTCCCACAGTTTACTCAAACACGCCTGACCTTGTTCTGTCAGCCAGGGCAAGAACCAGGGAACGTTGGCGCAATGCTAAAAAATATTCTCTTTTCAATGAACACCAAAGAGGAAGAGAAGTACAAGAATTTGACAAGGTATTGTTGCTGCCGCAGCTCACCTCGGTTGATAATACGAACAGGCACAGCTTAAATACGTATTTGAGGTTTGAACAATGAAATAAACTGCCTGCACTCTTTACAAGAAAATAAAAGTATTCAGAGACCGTTAAGCAGCTGGGTTGACGATATATTTGTAAGAAGGAGGCGGAACAATTTCACCACAAACGATCTCAGAAGATGGTCTAGCCGGCGGAGGACTGCGGACGACTAACAACAATAATTCTATTGACGAGATCAAGCAAAACTAACTACGAGAGAACGACTGGAGAACTGACAATTTGACTAACAACAGACGACTGTTTAACTGTGACAATAGACGGATCGAAAAGCACCAATTACTGATTACGAGTCTTCATAGCCAATAACATCACGGCTTAACTGCAGACGACCAATAACATCGCGACGTAATTGACCAATCAGATCAATAACCAGAGTATAATACCATCAACTGACGTGTTACAACTCACTTTGACTCTGAAGATGACTACCGCACAGGTTGTCGAAACGTCAGTCACTGTCAACAACAACAGTCCTATTCAGGACTACATTTACCCGGACGATCAAGCTCAACCTACTTTTGAAACAATAATTCTTTCAGGAAGGGCGGGGTTACCATATTTCCATGTTAATAGGGAAAACGTCAAAATTACTTGCTATGCTTTTACCAATCCGTCGCACTAGCTATGTTTGCCAATATGGCGGGAACGTTGACCGGATTTAACAACTTTTACTGTTAAACTATGCTTTTTTTACTTGAGTTTTTAAATAACTGATGCCTCATTTTGAACTCATTAAGCTTTCACAGAATCATCGCAATCATTACATGGATAGAACAGGAACAGTTCAAAGGGTGGAGCGATTTGTTATGCCACGGAAAGAACCGATAGTTGCACGAGGGTGAGTTGAGATAACGAGAAAGATTTGTTACCATAGCCTGTTCACAAACCCTCTATTTTTGAGATCCCCGAGCACTATTATGGAAATGAAAGCCGTCTGTGGACAAATCTGTGGACAGGCTAGTGTTAAGCAGACGCTATATAAAGCAGACACCTAGTTTCAGACGTCTTCCCATTCCTTTTTGGTCAAGTGAATGCATTTTTCGGTGACGTTGCCGTCACAAACTTGATGGAACCACGTAACCCAAAGCACATACGCCGTGTAGAATAATGAAGCCCCCCGGAGGACTACGCAATATTAAGCGAACATTAATAAAGGTCCAAGGGTGACCGTGGTAAAACAGGTTTCTCAGTACTTATTGTTTGCGAGGGAGGATAAACAGATTGTCTCACAAACATGTTTGTGAGACCTCACTGATTTGAAGTAGCGCAAGTCACGGTTTTACTTTGCTGTATTCTTATTGTTGGTAGAACGAACTCCGCAGAAAACTCCAGCCTTCTTAGAAAAGACTTCAAGATAAAATGTCCCATCAGTGGTATATTTGTATCAGAAGAGGACAAGGACTTCAGATCCCATCACAATCACCCTTTTAAAATGAGTCCCCCTTCAACATGTACCTGGAGGGACCGTGCCTTGAGGGATATCTACTTTGAGAAGAGATAGCGCGTTCCAGTCTTCTATGACCAAATGCTGGCGCTTACGTAATGATCCGCGAAAACTCAGCGCCTCATTAACATAAAAGTCTCCATATTTATCTGCTTCATTTGTCTCTATGAAATATAAAAGTTTTGTATGTAGATCGCTTACTTAATCGCATATCTTTGCGTTTTCTAGGATGTTTCAGAAATGCAGACTAACATTTCGCATTTTTGACGGGCGCTTTTTGTAAGTTTTGTCACAGTATTGTTTTATCGGTTTTAAGTAAACAACGGCAGTGACAATAAAAATATTCTTTCCAGAGACCCTACAGTGTAGTAGTTAGGGTTTTAGCGAAGTGTTAGAGCGTAGTAGAACTTCCTTTCAAGTCGTCTTCAAGAATCAGTCCAGAATCACCAGTTCATCATCATCTTCTGATTCATAGACGTAAATTTGTTTTGAAGACTTTACTCGCTTAGCACTGCTGACGAAGTCGTCGCAGTCATTATTTTCGGGAATTTCCGGATGATTATCGATTGAGTCTCTAGCGCTCTTACCGTCGGTTCCCCCTTCACTACCACTTTTGCTGTTGCTAGTTTCCTTCCTTCTTTTAAGATTTGATGGCGCATTCACTGAACGCTTGGTTCCTTTATGGTTGATCTGGAAAGACAAACAAACGAAAAATAAATGAAATCCAGGAATAATACCTGAACGATATTATACAATGGGTGGCTGGTAATCTATCGGACGGTCATATGTTAGCGAAGAGCGGCTTCCAAGCGATTTTCCCTCTCAAGGGAGCTTTAAGCTTAAGTGCATGTAGTTGTTGTACCCAGGGGTTTCAAAACAAAAAAGGACTAACGGACTTTAGGGGTTGAAATCTCCTACAACACATCTTTTTATAACTAACCACATACACACCGTGTCGCAACATTACGGCGTCCTTTTTAAAGTGCTACGTTTTGACCAAGTTGTGGTTTGATAAAAAGGCAGTTGTGATTACGAACTGCAATTTCACAGCATACTATAACAGTGGTTGATATTGTTAAAGGCAATGTGTTCGCGACATGAGTTACTTTGATGGCTTACCTTCACTGGTTTTGAATCCTCTCTAAAATCCATGTATAACTGCTTGCCAGCACGCACAAGGTCCGCTTTAGGACCAGGCAAGAGGTAAGAGATGGTAGAATAGGGGGTAAAGTGAAAATCCTCGCGCAACACACCCTCCAACAACAAATCTACTATCACTCGTTCACAGTCCTCGCGCGACAGATCTGGAGCCTTAAGGTCACGCACGCGCAGACTTGGCTGTCCTTTGCCGCACCAAGCATCAACAAGTTTGTTAGCTGTGACCCGCTCAGAGAGAGATGCAGCTTGTTCCAGGATTTTAAGAACATCAGCACAATAACTCGTTATGTTGCGACGCTTAAAAGAAGTTGGACCTAAATACATGAAAAGAAAGAAAGAAGTTGAAAAAGATCTGAAGAAAGCTTAATAAATGGAACTTCGTCTTTTGTCGTTTGAGTTCTGTACCTAATTCGTAAACATGTGATACAACAAGATTAATCAGAGAAAAGATGCGATGGCAACATTTCATTACGGTAAAATATACTTACTTGATCACGGTATAAAAACCGATCTCAAGGGAGAAAAATTTGTTACAATGGTACTGAACGAAAACGAACATGTTTACATCACGCAAAAAAAAAAATCTGCAAGTAAAAATAACTTTTCTTATGCTCGACTGTCAAACCACTATGAAGATGTCCGGAGCATCAAGGTAGGATTTTTTCACTCTCAGGTATAAAATTAGACCGCACGGCGGAAAATTCTTTTACTCTAATAAGTGACTAATAAACGAATATAGCTCATTAGTAAAATCCAACTAGTGGTCTATTATCAATGCTGCGTTCTGATTGGTTGAGCTACTACCAGGCTATACGTTATAGGCCACTAGTAGCGAAAAGCGCGGGCTTTTTGGCGACAAAAAAGGATTACAGTCCAGCTTTAACTAGCTAAAATTTTTTTATTCTCGATATTTTTGACCAACTAGTTGGATTTTACTAAAACAATTATTCCTCTCGCCCTCATGGCCCCTGAGTCAATAGCCCATCTGACCTTCGGCCTCCTGGGCTATTGACTCAGAGCCTGTTTGGGCTCGAGCGATAATTGTTAAATAGCAAGGCAGATAACACTCGCTACCAACCGATATCAAGGCAAAATTGGTTCTGCGTGACGCAAACTACAGTAATAGACTACAGGGCAGAAAACACTTGCTCGATGATAAACCAATATCAAGGCAAAAAACATTTATATGAAAGTTGTACATATTTCACCATACGCTACAGCATATACAATGTCACGAGCTCAAACATTATGACACATCTTACCATCTGACTGGTCACCAGTCCTTTTACAATTGTCACACATTCCATGACATTCCGTTGGGTTCCAGCGCTCACCAAAATGGCGTCCAATCAGCACACGACGGCAGGTTTTAACATCTTGACAGTAAGCTACCATCCCATAAAGATTCTCCAAACCTGTTAAAAAAGAGATTTGAGATTCAACGATATACGCAAAGTAATTCCCCTCTAAAAAACCTCTGCTACGATATTTTGAGTCAAAAGATTTTACCATGTGAAATTCTTTTCTTGAAATTGAAGTAAACCTCAAAATATTAGTGTGACAAAACGAAAAAACACAAGAATGGTTTACGATGGATGCGACTAACACGGATTAGCAAAAAAGGAAACGACAAACGTGGAAAACTGTGGGCTAAACTATTGCAAGAAAAAAAAATAGTGACGTGTTTTCTTAAAGTTAGAGAACCAAGAAAAATATGGTAAGAAACAATAATATAAATTAAAATATAACAAAAAAACGTAGCATATTTGAGTGTCAAATGTCTTTAGCACGAAAGTGCTGTTCGGGACATTGTTTTACGTCTCCTACTAAACGAGACCGCCATTTTACGAGGTCATCCGAGCCACGCGAAGGTCTAACAAATTGCAGAGCAAAGACAGTAACTTCTTTTCTTAGTTATTTTACTACACTACGAACAGGTTATTTTCTTAATTTGCGCAATATTTTGTCGGGTCTTTAAGCTCATTCTTCGAAATGAACGCTTATATAAAACCGTTTCATGGTAAAGCTTAAGAAGATCTTCATGATAGTACGTATAGATTATTTGTTATCCTCGTAGTGAATGAATGTATACGCGATAAAGGCCAAGACGAGAAATCTTAAGAAAAGAATAACGGGGAAAACACGCGGAGAGTTTCGCTAGGTCAGCTGAAATAATGTTAAGGTAACTATAACATTTTTTAACGCTGGAATCTGTTGCGACTTGGACAGTTTTTGTCCTTTCTTGAGGGCGTGTCTCATGATTTGTCAGTAACTGGCCTACAGAACAGTTCATATCTCAAATTACGTCCTAAGACGATTTCTTCGTCGTCAGCCGATGAAAATTAGAGCCTGAATTCCTAGCTCACAACAAGAAAGAGTAGCCTCTATTCCACTTTCCTTACAAAAGGTCCGTTTTCAGGGAAATAAAATATGGTGAGCCGAGCGTTCCGGTTGCCCACAGACAACACATGATTTAAGCATGCTTTCGTAGCAAAGTTTTGCAAATGAGCAAAGAGAGATCAATAAACTTCACTGAAACAGTTTATTTTGTTTCACGAAAGACTTCGAATGAAATTGTCAAAAATGTTTGGTGGCAAAATTTTAAATACTTACAGTCAGAATAACTTAATTTAGAAAAACTAACTTCGGTTGAACAATACTAACCTTTATTCCACTGTTGAAAAATAATTTATCCAGAACTTATATGCCGCTTACTCCGGTCGATCCCCTTACAATTCCAGATTTGTTTTCCTTTTCAGTAAACTTACAGACACTGTATGATTTTTGTTTTGAATGCTTCTGTTGCAGTAAAATCAAAAACTGTAGTTGACAGTTAACTACCGATCACTGTCCATTCTAGTCCCAGATCACGCGTGCATCACATTACAACTTACAGTGTACGTCATTGGTTTTCTGAGTGCATTAGCAATACGCAAGACTCTAGACAAATTGCGTATTTAAATCTTTATGAATCTATTGCCAGTGGATTTAAGTACCTTCCAATTATCACTCTTTCTGGAGAAATAACCTTTAAAGACAAATTTAAGGATGGCTCCAAATGAGTTAAACTTTGGGGTCATAATTTTTCGATCCGGGGTCATCTAAACGTTTGTTCAAGTCACTTGTCCTTTTTCGACTGGTAGTTTCACGAGAATTGAAACGCAAGCTTTAAGTCTCATCGTACTTCTCTAACAGAGGCTGCAGCTTTGGCTCTTTCGTTGTTTCATATAAAGAGTCCATAAACGGCTGTACTAAAGACGTCGGTCATAAATTGCCAGTTGAGTAAATTTCTTTTTTCAATGGAAATCAACGAGAATCGTTAGTTTAGTTTTCGGAAATAAACTCGAAACTGTCCACAGCAGCCTTCTTGGGGACCGAGAAAAGTAGCCTTTGTGGAGCGGTTAACTCTACAGCGCCGGACCGTATCTGCGACGGGAACAAATAAAACTGGCCTCTATGGACAGGCAGCCGTTGGTCAAGACAGGTTCGAATGTACAGTTATGATATTTCTTTGAATTTTGTGACCGAACAACGTTTTCTTGAGTTTTTGTACGAAAAGATAAATGAGTAGCGCGCATCCAAGTCACTTAATGGTCGCGTTAACAACATAAAGAACGTGAAAGCCAATGAGAGTAAAATTTTCTGGAAAACAAACACTTACCTGTTTGTTCCGTAAAAACCATAGTGCTTTGCTGAAAGATGTCAAATGGCCGATAGAACAAGATGCAGTGAGACTTGTTGTCATCTCGTCCCGCTCGCCCGCTCTCTTGATAGAAATTCTCCATGGATTTGCTGAGGGAATGGTGTATTACAAAGCGGACATCAGGCTTGTCGATGCCCATCCCAAAAGCGACTGTGGCTACAACGACCTAAAACAAAAAGGGAAAAATCCTACGTTA